ACTCGAGAGTTGCGACTCCCCGGTGTAGTCATTAGAATCATAGGCATACTCACGGCTCTACTGTCTACCAATGTCCGTAGTTTGGCGAAGCTAGGGACCCGGTAACCTGCTAGCCACACATGCGGCAATCTATGCCATCATGGTGTGGGGTTTTGACCGGTGCGCAGTGTCATGTTGAAGGAAAAAGGACGAAAAGCATGTTCCGCAATTGCAATTTTTCCCGCCGCGAGGAGCTGAGTTTTGTCTGGGACTGTAGATGGAGGCCAATGAGAAGCTATGCTGGGTTGAACCTGCATTCGAGGGATGTTTAGCAATAGCTTAGCAGCGCGCCATGAAGGTGAGACCCTTTTACTAGTAGCGACTTGACTGACTCTGACCGTACGCTCGGCAAGGTCATTGCCCTGCGGATGCAGCGGACTGCTGGTGTGGTGATGTATGCCGTACTGCTGCAGGTAGGTTGCAAGCTGTACGCTCTGGACGGTGGGCCATGGTCGGAGACAAACGTCTCAAGGAAAACATGGGTTGCGAAGATGGACTACAACTCGTTGATAACAGGCTTAGGCAGCGATCACACCGAGCTCGATTCAGCCATTCAGCCGAAAAAGCGCTTTTTTACGTCACGATTACCATGGAAATGGCTGAAAAATGTCCTACAAGCGACTTTCAGCCGTAGCTGACTCGCAGCCGTTTTTTCAGCTTGTTTTAGCCACAGCTTGTACAAGCGGCTGAAAGCCAAAATTCAAAAATTATTTTGAGTGCGCTTAGGACACACCATTCATGTAGACTTGTAGTGAACACGAGGCGGCGAACTGATATCGATGTTCTTTCTTGTTTCCGTGCTACATGTATGCCTTCACCTTGGCTTTGGTTTTGACAGTGTCTGTCTATCAAATAGTTCAGTTTGATTTTCTCTGATGACCATGGATTCCTGGACTGCCGGTTCCTCTAGAGCGTAGAATGTTGGAGCTGTGGTTCGAGGCCAAGACAAGGCACCAAACTCACGACTGAATTCATGAAGAAAGGTACGAAGAAGAGAGTGGATTGCGACGGAATTGAAGAACAGCAACCGGCGGAGCAGAAAGCTCAAAATAAGGAAACCATGTCACCCGAATCATCGGGTCCATGTGCACCGAACAAATAAAAAGAGCAAGAAGTCGCAATTCAGGATCCGGGCTTCTTTTGCTTCTTGTTGTTGTTCTTGATTTTTACTTCTTCATCAAAACTGAACACAAGTTGTAGATCGCCACTGTTCTGCTTTCCGATCTCTCGCGAACGTTGGTGTGTTTCGAGGTATTCAAAATTTGGCGGGCAAAAAAAAGCCATTCAAGCTTTGCACACGGTGTCTAGTGTGACCGCTCGACAGGGAGCACACAAGCCAGCTGAGCGCAAGCGATAACAAGCCCAAAGTGGCTTGTTTCGGTGTGACCGCGGCCTAAGCAGGCAGTATTGACATACATGCTAACTCCACATATCTGGAGTAATAATATACTACAACCAGGTAGTTTGCGGAGTCGAATTGCATGAAGTCGGCTGCAACATTCTGCCATGGCAGGTCGGGAAGAGTGTTAGGACGGAGTGCCTAAACCTTCGGGCGGTGAGTGTTGAACACACGGTTTGCAGGACGCGATGAAATTGGCCAGCTGAACACTCAATCCTGGCCAACACACTGACTGCTTGGCACGGGCACGGCACTTCGTGATGCCAAGATGGCCCGAGTTGAGTCGCTGGAGTACATCAGGCGCAAGGACTTTGGGATGACAATCTTTTGTCCATACATAAGTAGACCAAAGCACACAGTTAAGTTGTCTTCAGCGTTGTGCTATAGCCGGATTGAAGGTGCCGGAACATGTTTGGGATGTGACCAGCTGCCTTCGACATACTGGCGAAGTAACTTCCAATCCGGATCGTTTAGCTGATGGTCTCAGATTTCTGCCAGGCGAGCATCAGAGGCCGGCATGCTGTCAACAGTGGCGGAGGCAAACTTTTCAACCTTTTCGTTGAAACTTACAGCACTAGCACAAGACGACTGTAGACCAGGAGAGTGAGAGAGTGCATCAGGACTGACTAGGTGCTTTCCTGGCAGGTGTGATATCGAGAAATCAAACAGCGTCAGACCCAGGCGGAACTGTTAGTTACCTCCTCCCGGTCCCCTTTTCTAGCTGGCCTGCATGCACTCGCGTACTCACCTTTTGTCTCCTTTTGTTCCGTTGGCCTGGGTAGCTACTTGCGCGCCCATAATTGCCATAGCTACCCAGGCCCTTTACCTTGCCGTTCATACTTGATCTCTTTCTCTTTCTCACTCTTCAATAATCACCATGTAGTCGTTTCGTTCGTCCTGGTCTTAGTCATCCCGTCTCTAATAAATGTCGTTCCACTAACCTAACTTGTTCCCGTTGTCCGTTGTCCTAATTCATACTCAACATTGGCGCCCGACCATTGCTCGGAACCCACGACCCTTGTCCTCAACCGCCACTCGTCTCGTCCATGTCCATCTCGTCTCATCTCCAACCTCGTCTTGTCTCCAACCTCTTCTCGTCTATGTTAACCTCGTCTCGTCCATGTCAACCTCGTCTCTTCTATGTCAACCTGGTCTCGTCCAAGTCATGCAGGTCAGCTACTTTCTTTATTTCTCTCTTTCTTTTTCATCCGTCTTTCGTCGTCAAATTTATTTTCGGTTTATTTTATTTTGTGATTTTTGTAGTGTGTGTGCGCGCGGGTGTCCTTCATTAATATTAGGGGTCCGATCATGGTGAGCCACGCTCTTCTATTTATGTCGTATATTAAAGTGTAACTAGGCTGTATTAGCCGTGCAAAATACTAGTAATCAGAATGCAATTCACGTTCCTCGTCAAACTCCAATAGTTATTTTTTGTGCAATGTTTTTGAAGGGGCGTTTGGGCCCGTTGTTATTGGCAATGTACACACTATAAGTAGAACGTTGACGGTTGTAATGATCTGTAGTGAATTTTTAGTACACACTTTTGTGAGGCCCGTGCGTTGTGTGTGTGTGGGTTTTTTTTTGTTTTTTGTTTTTTTTCTCTTCTTCCTCGGTCATTGTTTCCCTTTATTTTTCTCATCGTCTTATTATTTCCCGCGTGGTCGCGGTTCTTTTTTTCACTCAGGGGAGGTATGCTAGGTACCTCCTCCCGTACCTTTTTTAGCTGGCCTGCATGCACTCGCGTACTCACCTTTTGTCTCCTTTTGTTCCGTTGGCCTGGGTAGCTACTTGCTCGCCCATAATTGCCATAGCTACCCAGGCCCTTTTTCTTGCCGTTCAGACTTGATCTCTTTCTCTTTCTCGCTCTCCAATAATCACCATGTAGTCGTTTCGTTCGTCCTGGTCTTAGTCATCCCGTCTCTAATACATGTCGTTCCACCAACCTTACTTGTTCCCGTTGTCCGTTGTCCTAATTCATACTCAACAGAACCGTAAGACACGAGGCAGCACATTATCAACTGCTGTCGAGCTGATCAGGGGAACAAGCAGCTGGTGGTCTGTCTCAACCACGAATTGCTTACCAGTGAGGTAATCGCTGAAGCGTTCACAAGCCCAAGTGATGACAAGGGCCTTTCTTCTCGAACTTAGCATATTTACGTCCATAGCTGTCCGTGATCTAGACACATAGGAAACAGGCTTCCACTCGCCAGGAGGTTGCTGTTGCGAGAGGACTACACAGATGCCATAGCCCGATACGTCTGACGATACCATGGTGGAGTGCATCGGTGAGTAGAGTGCCAAGACAGGGTCTGTTGGCAGGGTAGCGTTCAACTCTTCGAACATTGACTGTTGAGCGGGGGCCCGAGTCCAGCCGTTGTCCTTCTTCAGGAGGTCAAGGGGTGGCTTCGAGACGGTGGCAATCTCGGGAGAGAACTTTCCTTGTTTTTGTACGATTCTAAGAAAGCTCCGGACATCAGAGCCATTCACACATTGCGGGAAATCAGTCAAACCTTGCAACTTGTCTGGATCAGGATGAATGCCATTAGCGTTGAGGACATGGCCAAGGTACTTCACCGATGTCACCTTGAACTCACATTTGTTCAGATTCGGAGTAACCCCAAGATCACACAAGCGCTTCATCGCGCCGTCCAGGTATACGGCGTGGTCTTGACCAGTCTCGGCGAAGATGAACTCGTCATCCTTCTGGCATGTGGTTCCTGGAACGCTGTTCAGGGTACTGGTCATCTTCTTTACCAGTGCAAATTGTTCCGAAGGTTGTGCAATTTTTCTTACTATTCTTGTATCGGCACAGTGGGTTGGTCTAAGACCATGATTGAGAAACGAGGGGTACCAGGTTCAAGTCCTGCTTGGAAGCGGAAGGATTTTTTCCAACCGTGCTGCGACCCACAGTTAATTGGGAGCTCGTGGCCTGGCATCAGTAAAACATGGATGTGGCAAATGGGATTTAGGCCTTGGGCCTATGGTTGGTGGATCTGATCTATCCTCCCCCACCGTTTAGGAGCCGCATCTGACGCCTGATCATGGGGTGGTGGCGTCCCACGGAAGCGGAAAGGTGGTTATTGACCAGGGAGTTGTACGACTCCTTGTTCTTGACCTGCCCGGTACGCGAACCCGTCGAATTCGTGTATCCTCATGTTGTTTCACTCCAAGTGTATAAATCCTATTGTAGTTTCATCATTGTCTTTCGTCACGAATTCCATTGATAATCAAGAAACAAGAACATGTTCTGAAATACTTTTTTCGTCGCTATGGTTGTGATATGAGTGCGCATATAGTTTTATTCATTGCATTATTAAGATTATTGTCTCCACGTCGCCTTTTTACATAACTGTAGAGCACGAGAATACGGTACAATTATTGTGGATCGCTCTGGTCATAGATGGCAACATTGCTTTCAGAGATATGGGAAAGGGTTGCTTGATGTTGACCGCACAGGATCCATCCATTCCACGATATGGCAATTGTCATCAATTCCAGTAGAGTACAGGTACTCGTGCTATCAACATGTCGGTTTGGTTGTTGCTGCTATGGCTGTGTTTAGAATGGGAGAACTCCTCTTGGTAAAGCAGTGTTCCGGCGGAGAGCAGATTGTGTACGCTACTTGCTGGAAGTCACCTGGACCAAGCTAGCATATGATGAGGTGAGAGTTGAAAAAAGTAGGTTGTGTGATGAATGGGTCTACCAGTTTTGTCTGTGAAAACATGCTCGGCTACTGCGAAAACCTTTGCTCTGGAACTACCCCCCCCCCCCCCCCCTCACCTGCACAACTTCTTATCAGTTTGATATGATTTTTGTTCCTGAAACAGGTAGCTTTACGTAAGGTTGGTTAACCCTTTACCGGCAAGTTACTTTTGTATGTGAAATCCATAACATTTAGATGGATGCCAATAACTCACAACGAGGCCACATTTTGTATGTGCAAGTTATGTTTTATTGGAAGTCTAGTACTACTTCTTGACCATGGAAAAAATTATTTTCTCATACCACACACATACGCTGCTAAATTGGCACCTCTACGTCTAAACACGGAAATTGTACACATGCAAATCGTCAGAGTTCCGACATCGACATGATACTACCAAAACAAGTCGACTTCGGAGCGGAAACAAATGCCATAGCCAACACAAACTTCATTGGCCATGCTTCGCTCGCAAAAGAGAGCAGCATCGCCCCAGAATCGCTGTCGGAAAGCTCCGGACGGTCGCACGCACGCCGCGCTGCGCTGCCGTCACTCAGGTACGGAGAAAGTCGATGGCCTAAATTCCGTCTCTGGGAGACTGTCGACACGGGGATCGCTCTCCATGGCTTCCCCACCATAAGCACCATCAGCTTCTTCCAGGTACATCACGACGACATCGTCTTCAGCGGCTGGCGCTCCCCATATTTGCGTGAGAATTTACTTGGCGTGCGCCACGCTCCGTAATTTGAAATTCGCTTGCATCGGCGGCTGGAACGAAGTATTTATCTATCTGTCGTCGGTCACAGAGCGAAGGACTGCTAGGTCCTCGTCGGAGAAGTCATCCGAGGACGATAGGAACTCACTGCGCAAGAGAAAATGCACCTGACGATGTTTTGACGGAGGCGGACGGCATTGTCGGGGCGCACGTATTTCCGTAAGTTTTCGATCGCGCAGTTCTCAATGAAATCAAATGGGACACGCGTGGATCTCTTCAGCTACCGATAGGATCATACCTTGGCTGTGTGAGGGCCACGGGAAATCCCCGTGGGCTGATGCTTCCCGTCACGCCAGGCATGGTTTTGCATGCATGTCGAATGCGTCAACGTTGACGCATTCAAGTATGGGGCTGCCGGTAAAGGGTTAACATGGACGATCTCTATGGAAGCCGGTCGGAATATGATGAAAGAGTACTTTCTGCAGATTAAATGCGTTTCTCTAGTCTATTTCGTCACTGTCTACTTCAAGGTGTGTTGAGTGACATCATCGTGTATAGTGCATCTGTGTTTACCCTTCACTTTAGTCAACTTCTTTTGAGCATGATGTTAAGTATTGAGCAGTGACAGAATGTTCTATCATTTCTTACTGTGTACCTGCGCTATATACGGTGTAAGAAGTAAAATGGCGGGTGTGTTTTCTGTGGTATTTTGGATACGTGATGGTTATTGTGACTAGTGATATTGATAACAGTGAAGAGTGTATCGCGATACCATTATTGGTTCTATGTTTCCAATCCAGGCAAAGGAGATTGTGGAGGAAGCCAGAAGGATAGCTCAAACCGGCGGAAAAACGCAAGCATTGGACTTGATTGAGGTGAAACATGTCGTTAAAGTTATAGGATTACTAACTCTTTGCTTGTGGATGACAGGAATGAATAATTGGTACGAGTTGGGAGTAATGACCTACCGATGTAACCAGATCAAATAGAAATACAGTTAGAAGCTGTGACAATGCACAAGACTGACAAGATACTGAGACATTCAACACTCTGACACCTAGGTCCAACATGTCTCCAAAGCGAAAAGCCAATAACGTTCCAAGGTGGAAAGCTCAGGTTAGGGAAGTCCAATGAGGAGACGTTCAGCGCAAACAGCATGATAACAAGTAATAGTTACATCTCACATGCTAAAGGCGGGGTTGGGGTGGTGGGTAGGGTAGGCGTGGTGGTGGGGGGGGGGGGGTGAATTGGAGTAGCATTGATCCTTATTGGAGACAGGAGAGAACAGGAGAAGCCCAAGATTGCGTTACATCAACACGCACAATTCGACTAGGGAACGAGAGGAAGGATGAGAGAGAAGGAACGAAAAGCAGTGAAAGAATGAAAAGCAGTGAAGAGGTAATGCGAGTGACGGTGAGAGAGAGAGAAAAAGAATGGGAGAGATCTTTCTAGATTTCTTGATGAATTAACTCAAAGACATTGCAATGATGAAGTGACTGATGGACAGAGAGCTGGCAAGATTACTATCAATGTCCCTGTTGATCGTCATTCGAGTCTCCAGGCAACAATTGACAGCTATGTATTGATAGAACCCGCAACTCACTCAGGGATAACCCTATAATTGTATTGTCACAGCAATGGGATACCTGGTTGGATCTGATTGCTCACGATCACCAGCAATGGTAGGCACTGAAATTGGCTATTAAAATGTTCTGGCTAAGAGCAGATAATCCAAGAGTAACAACAGGGGTCACGGGGAAGAGTAGATCAGGATCGCAATAGACGACAGAGTCAATATACAATGACAAGATATATAGGGTGTAATGAGTGTCGAATGTCACCATTTGGTGGAAGCCAAAACTGGAGACATATTTCTCTTCTAGTACTGTCGGTGTTGTAGCAAGCAGAGCAGTCAGATTAGTGATCATTTATTTCTGCTGTGGTCACCAACACAGAATGCGGATAGCTAAAATCTAAAATCTCATTGAATTCCTGGACAAACTGTGTTGAGTTGTGTGTGGTTATGGAGATTGACACTATACGAGTGTGCTCCCTGAGCCCACTATGGACTCCTACATCAATTGCCCTAATAATTGGGTTGAAATACTGGTTACATTGAACAACCTGATAGCAACTAGCCTACTGTCAGATGTAAGCTAGTGTCTAGTGTCTAGTGTCTAGTGTCTAGTGTCTAGTGTCTAGTGTCTAGTGTCTAGTGTCTAGTGTCTAGTGTCTAGTGTCTAGTGTCTAGTGTCTAGTGTCTAGTGTCTAGTGTCTAGTGTCTAGTGTCTAGTGTCTAGTGTCTAGTGTCTAGTGTCTAGTGTATGTACAGCTATGTGGACATACTGTAATATCTACAGTTGCGCTCTGTGAAATTCGACCCGTGTCCATATTTGGCAATCTCAACTTGCACGACCCTGGGTGTCCTGGAAGTGGCACGAATGCAGCTGCATGTAAATATCCGCAATACTACTTGTATAATCACAACTGATCGAGGGCGCCGCCGGCTTTGCAATTTTGGTTGAATTTCACTGAGCGACACTGTAGTTCTAGACAGTGTTCAACTTACATACTTTGGGTATTGTTGTTGTGTACTGCATTTGTATGCTCCAGACCAGCTTGATACGTGAAGAGTTTGGTATTGAGGGTTACACTGATCCTACTGAACTGATTGCCAACGTGTGTGGAGTAGAAGGTTCAGGAAAATCTACCTTCATTGCATCCTTCACAGCAGAAGGTTTCTTCAATAAACTACTACGTCAGGAGAATCAACCGGACTTGAAGGCAAAAGATTTAGCATCCCGAACAAAGGTGAATTGAAACTTGAAAGCAATGTAGAATGCACAAAGTGCTGCAGGTTGTAATTTGGATGAATGCATTGTAAGTCCAAATTGTTAGTGACAAGTTTTGTTTCATTCCAAATAAGCACAAATCAACATGACCGGGGAATTGCAGAATGTAGGTGTTATGAACCCTATCAAAAACGCTAAGCCAATAACAAGGAGAAAGAGAGGTAAACAGAGCCGGGAAGAGTGACTGGTGAAATGTTCATGCTGGTGTCTGCAAGCGTCGTGTGGTCTTATCTGATCACAAGACAAATCTATCAGTACTAAGAAATGACAGACCAAATGAAGATTGCATCAGCAATCTACAAATTACCACCCAGACAATTGTGGATATAAAACTGATAAAGTCATCGTGGTATGCGGTATAAATGACTGAAGGTACTTTGATTATTGGTTGTTGATTGGTTCTATTTCTATCAGTGTTGAAACGAGTGTACCTATAACAAACGAGCGATCAGTTCCACTAGCGAGCAAGCTATCGAGCGAGCTAATGAGCTTCATTGACGTGGCAAAATATAATTTTTTTAAATATTTTTTCTAAATAGCAATGAAAAATATCAATTGTGCACTCATAATCATGTATAAACAATTAAAATGAAACAATTCCAGAACGTTTTCGTGTGACCATCATCAGTGGAACATCGTCACATAGTAAGAATCACTAAAACAACCAGTTATATAGCTAGAGTAACATGAAAAGAAGCGTGAGAATGCAGCACAGCTAGCGGTTATGCATAACGCGTGTAGTGTGAACCTTTGCAGTGTATCTGAGAATGGTAGCAGTAGATGAATGTGGCAGCTGTGAGTGCGTGTGAACAAAAACTGGTGAGTGCGTATTATTTAAAAAGTGTGAGTGCTACAACATTTTCTTTTTGCTTGCATAGAACAGGGTCACGTGTGCGAATATATACAGCTTCCAACACCTGCAACTGCTTAAAGAAACGCGCGCGACAAATAACACTAAACCAGGAATCGTCAAACAACTTACGACAATCCGGACTGGACACCAAATGCTTGTAGATGGCAGACTTGCTCTTGTCGATGTCGAACTCCTCCTCGTCCGTATCACTCTCATCCTCCACTTCCCGTTCCTGCTCACCCTTACTTTCCTCCTGACCATCCTGTTCATCCCCATCATCATCCTCCATCTCCATCTCCTCATGCCATCGCTTCTTTCTCCTTGACGTGTTCACTGCTGCGCCCGTACTTTCACCTGCCACTACTGGTTCCGCCTTCTCCATTTTTCTCAGTCGTGTCTCCGCTAGTCTCTGGCTTCTCCTCAGATTCGTTTTTCCTCCATTTTCATTTCGTTCTCCTGGTGATCTTTCCGTTACCGCCATCGGGTTTGTTAATGAACGGTCGTCCGGTGGTCTCCCATGCCGTGTTGTTGTCGTCAAGAGTGACACCAGATTCGTGTGTTGCGCTACTGTTGAGTCCGGTGTTGTATCCGTTTCTGGTTGTGTTGTAATACTGACAGGCGTAGTAGTAGGCAACGGGTGTTTTCTCGGCCTCCCACGCTTTGGCCTGCCTGCCCTGGCCGCTTTTGACAACAAGGACAATGGGACGTGTTGTTTGATACGTTCGGACAAGTGTTGAAGCGTCCTGCCAACATACCGACTACCGCACTGTCGGCATTCAAAATGATAAATGAGGTGACTCAAATGATGGGTCGGCAGGACGTCCTTCAACACCGTGAACGAACGTATCGTGGTGAAGACAGTTACTACATTCACTGCATAGTACGTCTTCTGGACAATAGACTTGACACTACGACTGACCTTTGTCGACTCCGCGCCTTTCCAAGGCAGGCACAGGAAGACACGACAAGGAGCCGGGCCGATTGTCAGTTCCTTACGGGGCGCATTGTTCGTGAGTAGTTTCGCTAATAGTGATCCTGGATATCCGTTCTTAAGAAAGACAGAGCGAAGGAAATCAAGTTCTGCTTGCAGTTTACTCTCGGAGCAAATGCGTCTTGCCCTGTCAGCTAAGTTTCGGACTAGATTGGTCTTGTATTGCGAAGAGCAATATGAATCGTACATAATATACTGACCAGTGAATGTAGGCTTACGATACACCGATGTCACACCACCCTCACATGTCTTTTCCACGAGTACATCTAAAAACGACAATTTGTTGCAATCCTCGTGTTCACATGTGAAGCGTAATGCAGGGTGGACATCATTCAACTCATCTAGAAAGGCTTCACTGTCACGTCTTGTTTCGAAATAGGTAAATGAGTCGTCCACAAATCGAACGTACAACTGAGGCCACTTTATTTTGTCCATTCTCGATTCGCAATATCCAACGAAGACATTTGCCAGTACCGGGCCCAACGGAGACCCCATCGCCACACCGTCTGTCTGCTTATACATAACATCACCAAACGAGAACTCTACGCCACTCGTCACCATCAGCATCAAACGTCGAAATGCTGTCTCCGGTAACCATGGAAGATCAATGTCATCATCATTGTGGTATAGTCTTCGCGCGCAGATATCTATTGTCTCGTCTAGTGGTACGTTTGTAAACAAGCTTACAACATCGAAAGAGCACATATGGGCAGTAGGCGAGAGTAAACTGCAAGCAGAACTTGATTTCCTTCGCTCTGTCTTTCTTAAGAACGGATATCCAGGATCACTATTAGCGAAACTACTCACGAACAATGCGCCCCGTAAGGAACTGACAATCGGCCCGGCTCCTTGTCGTGTCTTCCTGTGCCTGCCTTGGAAAGGCGCGGAGTCGACAAAGGTCAGTCGTAGTGTCAAGTCTATTGTCCAGAAGACGTACTATGCAGTGAATGTAGTAACTGTCTTCACCACGATACGTTCGTTCACGGTGTTGAAGGACGTCCTGCCGACCCATCATTTGAGTCACCTCATTTATCATTTTGAATGCCGACAGTGCGGTAGTCGGTATGTTGGCAGGACGCTTCAACACTTGTCCGAACGTATCAAACAACACGTCCCATTGTCCTTGTTGTCAAAAGCGGCCAGGGCAGGCAGGCCAAAGCGTGGGAGGCCGAGAAAACACCCGTTGCCTACTACTACGCCTGTCAGTATTACAACACAACCAGAAACGGATACAACACCGGACTCAACAGTAGCGCAACACACGAATCTGGTGTCACTCTTGACGACAACAACACGGCATGGGAGACCACCGGACGACCGTTCATTAACAAACCCGATGGCGGTAACGGAAAGATCACCAGGAGAACGAAATGAAAATGGAGGAAAAACGAATCTGAGGAGAAGCCAGAGACTAGCGGAGACACGACTGAGAAAAATGGAGAAGGCGGAACCAGTAGTGGCAGGTGAAAGTACGGGCGCAGCAGTGAACACGTCAAGGAGAAAGAAGCGATGGCATGAGGAGATGGAGATGGAGGATGATGATGGGGATGAACAGGATGGTCAGGAGGAAAGTAAGGGTGAGCAGGAACGGGAAGTGGAGGATGAGAGTGATACGGACGAGGAGGAGTTCGACATCGACAAGAGCAAGTCTGCCATCTACAAGCATTTGGTGTCCAGTCCGGATTGTCGTAAGTTGTTTGACGATTCCTGGTTTAGTGTTATTTGTCGCGCGCGTTTCTTTAAGCAGTTGCAGGTGTTGGAAGCTGTATATATTCGCACACGTGACCCTGTTCTATGCAAGCAAAAAGAAAATGTTGTAGCACTCACACTTTTTAAATAATACGCACTCACCAGTTTTTGTTCACACGCACTCACAGCTGCCACATTCATCTACTGCTACCATTCTCAGATACACTGCAAAGGTTCACACTACACGCGTTATGCATAACCGCTAGCTGTGCTGCATTCTCACGCTTCTTTTCATGTTACTCTAGCTATATAACTGGTTGTTTTAGTGATTCTTACTATGTGACGATGTTCCACTGATGATGGTCACACGAAAACGTTCTGGAATTGTTTCATTTTAATTGTTTATACATGATTATGAGTGCACAATTGATATTTTTCATTGCTATTTTACGACTGTTGTCTCCTCGTCGGTTATTTAAATATTTTTTCTAAGTTCGATATTTTTCAGCTGGTTCAAATTATCACCGCCGGCATTTGGCGTTGCTGCTGCTTCACTTCGGACAGCTGTTTGGTGTCGAGATGTTTTTTCAGCGCCGTCATCGAGCAGCCTTTGAAAGAATAGGTCGTTTTCAAAGATTGCAAGTAGCCCTGTTCTTCGCTGCATTGCGGGAGAAAACTTCCAAACGACTGAGCGTAACTTTCACTCGAATGAAGAGTTGACAGAAGCATGTCTTGCTACAGGTCAGCAGATGCGGAACAAGACATCAGTGGAGTCCACCAAAGCTGCAACGACAACTGAAAAAAGCTCAGTGTTGACATGTCGTGCAGGTATACAGTCACTGTAACTGCGAGTGATTTTCACTTTGCGTGGGACTGGACTCTCGATCGACCAGGGAGTCGTAAAATATTCTACGACTCCCCGGTCGACCTGTACTACCATGTGCACGGAGCACGGTGTACGGTGTTCGTTAGCGCAAACGAGCTGGCCGCACTAGCGAGCCGAGTTTCTGGCGAGCGAGCTAACGAGTACCCTGTGAGATTGTTTCAACACTAATTTCTATCAATAACTGATTACATTGCTATGTAAGTATGTTATATACACATAGCATTACTACCAGAGCTACCGTACTGGCGTGATTAGAACCCTCTCTCGAATAGCGGCCAAGTTTGGTTTTCTTTTGCTAATTTTCTTGTCCATGTCACCTTACTGGTGGTTTCAGGATCAAAATCACAATTCTTGTTGCCATTTCTGGGGAGTCGTGATAGTTTAGAGTGAACATTAGGCTCTGTTTTTGTTTTTTGCCTTCTTTGCTTTTATCATGGGTAACGTAATGTGCCAGTATTGAAAGATAGTGCCCCCTGGGGGCACTAGGGGGCACTAATCGCGAGAGTACAGTATTCTGTTGCTGTAGAACAAAGTGGTTGCAGTGAGCTAAGTATGATTCGTACACTGTTCTCTTTCTCAGGGCACATTAATTTTGTTTTTTTTATCTGTTCCATAATTATAGGGAATTGAAGAAACCATTTACAACCACTCGCAGGTGAAGGTGCATTTTCGCGACTTTGCTGGCCAAGAGCATTACACCGAGTCGCATGACATATTCACGGTTGCCATGACAGCACCATCTGTTGCCGCAATAGTGGTGGACGGCACAGAGGTGATTGATGAGATCACACAGACTGTCAGTGCAACCGCAGCCAATATTGTTTGTCGCCTGTCTGCACCTGATGATGGTAAGTGATAAGCAATGAATGATTTTCTTGCATGTCACATGATCCATTCTCGCAATTTTGAACACTGCAACTAAATCCCAACCTGCAACCACAAAGTTAAAACGAAAGGCACAAACCGTTCCAGTTTCCTGCTCAATCATAACTTTTCTCTGCAGAAAACGAGCAACAGTTGATCACCAGCCTGCCCTGGTTCCCATATCACTCAAACTAGTTACACAGTTACATGATCTTGGGATGGAGAGACATGCCACCTACTCCATTTGGTATACAAGCGGAAAATGGGAATTCTATGCTGTCCGGGATTGATTAGCTGCGTAATCATGGACTGGTATTCCTTGTTATTGGCAATTGTGTCACTTTGTCTTCGTGAATTATCAGGCTCTCTACAGACTGAGCAACAAGACCAGCAGCACCACCAGCACCAGCAGCAGACGCAGCAGCAACAACACCAGGAAGAACTGCAACAGGCGCAGAGACTTGATGTCATTGCGATTGCCACACGAGCTGATAAGCTAACACCTGAAGAGTGCGCTGAAGTGGAGAAGGCCATAAAGAGAGGAATGAAAGCATTCTCTCAGCACTTGGATCTCTGCTTTGTGAGAGTAGTGGATGCTAGAAAGTCCGACAGTTCCAGCATGAATGATCTTAGGAGACTATTCATGAGCTTGGTGAACCGAGTGTTGACTGTAAGATTTCTTCTTTGGCCGAATTTGATAACCTTTCTCTGTGTTGAGTGTTGGTCGAGTAGCTGGTCGAGCAGCCCCCCCCCCCCCCCCCCCCACAAGGATGCGCTTTACAGAACCGCTATGCATTTAATTGTTTTATGGTACAATGCAAAATGAAAATATCACCACTCAGTATGCCTATATTGCGCTGTCAATACACTGATGTTAATCGGAAAAGGCGCAACACCATATTGGTCCTATACTTCTATTCAAACTTGCGCTGTCTTGCCGAAATGCGAAGCGTGTGACCTGCAAGATGTGTGTTTGTATGGAAACTGCTGACCAACTCTCACACAGTACATTGGTGCATCAGTCATGCACATACTAGAGTGACGGGGTGTGCAAAGACAGTTAGTACTAATTGATATTGTGAATGTGAAGAAGAGGCTGGTGCGACTTCGGCGATACTTGGGGAATTGTGTGTTGCTGGATACATAGTAGCTAGTGCTTTCCCTGCCGACTTGAATTCTCACTTGCCTGACTCACGACTGCCATCCAGGGTACACAAGAAGTCTATCGAACCGTCCACTCGGCAAACCTGCAAGAAAGCACCACTCCCTGCTCAATACACAGTGTGTCGGGGAATATAACCCTCATCAGTTGAGCTTGAGTAGGCTGAGGAATATTGTGTCTGAAAAGCACCACTTATATAGTCCTCTCCAGGCCAAATCATCACCAGGGATACAAACTTACAGAGACACTCCATTTCCAGCGCGGCAAACACCACGTGAACACCAGATAGCAGCGTGAGTCAGTGTCGCTCATGGAGGTGCTGAACAAACGCTGAGGACCGTTGGCGACTCACAACATTGTTGCTTCCAAACCAAGGAATTCGCAAGCCCGCACTGGGGTCAACAATGTTCAGCACCTCCATGAGCGACACTAACTCACGCTGCAATCTCGTGTTCACGTGGTGTTTGCCGCGCTGCAAATGGAGTGTCTTTGTAAGTTTGTATCCCTGGTGATGATTTGGCCTGGAGAGGACTATTTAAGTGGTGCTTTTCAGACACAATCTTCTTCAGCCTACTGAAGCTCAACCGATGAAGGGTGAATTCCCCGAAACACTGTGTATTGAGCGGGGAGTGGTGCTTTCTTGCAGGTTTGCCGAGTCGAAGATTCGATAGACTTCTTGTGTACCCTGGATGGCAGTCGTGAGTCAGGCAAGTGAGAATTCAAGTGACAGAAAAAGAGAGGGCTCCCACGTATGCAGCAACACATAATTCCTTTTCCTTATAAGAAGTTTTGGGCGAATCCACATAGATACAATGTTAGTGTCGTATTTTACAAGAACATACTAGGTTTCTCGTGTGCTCTGTATGACAGTCGTGAGTCAGTGAAGTGTCAAGTCAAGTCGGCGGAAAAGTGCGAGCTCCCGTGTGGCAAGCAAACGCTTTCACATGCCGCTACCACTAATTCGCACTTTTTCAACTTTGACTACAGAAATCTCCCAAGCAACCACGTTTGCTGCAGAAGGCTCGAAAGCATTTGGATGAGGTTCAGGCATCTATGCCCAATCCATACTGCTCAAGAGATGAGTTTGTGCTGGCATTCCACAAGGCAATTCAAGGAACCAGCACTGCACCGCGAGAACGATTCGCTGACAGGATAGACAGATATCTACGCATCTTGAGTGCATATGGATATGTAAGGGTAACGCATGCCTAGAAATGATGACATGTGATGATGAATTTCTGTGTGTACATATAGAATGATTTCCTTGTTCTCCCTGAGGTTTGCTATGCTCAAAGCCCATTATGACTTCAAGCTTTGGAAGGCTTTGCCGGCTGGGTGCCCTTATAACCTGCACAATGTGTGACATTCAATATATCACTCCTGTCGTGGCCCAACTCGAATGAGTTGACAAACACGTAATCCTGCCAATTTGGGAAAAATCGAACTGAGTTACACTGAGAACATCATGAACCGCACACACACACACACATGCGCGCACGCTCGCATGCACGCCCACACACACAGACGCACGCCCCCCCCCCCCCACACACACGCACGCACACACAGCACATACACAAACACACCCACACACATGCACACACACACACAACACACAACACACTGCACACACGCACGCCGACCCGCCCGTGCGCAAGCGCACGCACGCCCACGCACGCACTCACGCGCGCGCACGCGCACACACACACAACACACACAGCACACTAAAATTCAATGGTGCTCTAGCTAATGAAGCTCTTTGGAGGAGAATGTAACCTAAAACTGGTTGCTGTATGCACACCAATAGCCCGTTAGGTTGTATATTTGAGCTTTATACAATAGATATTGGGAGTCAAAACTTAACTTCAGTTGTCCCTCTCTAATCCGTCACCTTTTGCAGCAGCATTTTCTGCTGGATAAACAAGGGTGCTGGATTATCAAATCCTGCTCTCCAACCTGGCCCACCTACAAACATGTTTGTGTTGTAAGTTAAAACGCAGAGATTTCTGTGTCAATCTAATTACTTTGTGGAATGCATGTCTATACAATGCATAGGATAGTTGCAAGGGTATGTTACATGTGTAGATTGCTACATGATAAGTTAGTTCATGCATGTCATGCACTCACCAAACTAACATAGCTGTGCAAGGGTACGGTATGCGATGTACAACTGTTCGATTATAAAATCGAAATATGTACAGTTTGAGCGATTCGCTGTAGAAAATCGCTACGGGAGCCGGAATTCAAGTGCCGGATTAAAGCATCGAAACTGAACTGAAAAATCCGTTTTGCCAGAAAGTGGGCTGCTTTGCAAGGGTTCTGGATAAACAAGTGCCGGAAAAGAGATAAGAGATAAGAGATAAGAGAGGGAAATAGACGTTTCTTTGTACTTGATGTGCATTTCTGTTGTGTGCATGTGTACGTGTGTGTATGTGGGTGTGGGTGTGTGTGTGTGCATGGGTGCGCGCACTCATGTGTATGTGTGTGTGCATGCGTGCACGCACCCATGTGTGTGTGTGTGTGTGGGTGGGTGCATGTGTGTATGTGTACATGTGTACATGTGTGTGTTTGTGTGTTTGTGTGTGTGTGTGTATGTGTGAGTGTGTGTGAGTGTGTATGTGTGTGTGTGTGTGTGTGTGTGTGTGCATGTGGTATGCCTTTGATACTGCTAAAGGTTATCACATTCCCAGAGCTGAATGATCTGGTGGTTCATCAGCCTCGCTGGCTCCTGCAGGACGTGATCGGGTTTATGTACTCGTCCAACGTCTTCCCCCACCGCCCTGATGGCAGTGCCAGGGAATACAAGATGAGTGAAGAGGAGTTCGTCCGTTCACTGACTTCATTCGCCAAAGTCGGAAAAAATGCTCCGCTCTGCGTGCGTATGGTTCTACAGCTCGGCTTGTCCATCCGCTATCAGAAGGATATCCTTGCTCTCTCCCTGTTTCCCGAGTGCACACAGCCATTAAAGGTGCACAGAGCCTTCATGACCTCACAAGTGATGGTAGGTTCTGTGTATACCTGCAATGGCTGTGTGCCATTCTCATCTGGTCTCATTGTTCAATGCCAAGCACGTGTATACGACTACTCCGCCTGCTTTTTCGCCAGTACTGATCCCATGTTCTTCAAGAACACCATCATTGTCCACCCGTATCCGCACACAACAGCGCTGATTGTGTTTTCGTCCGACCGTCAGCGCTGTTGTATTGCAGTGACGTCCAGTTACGGTACGTACCTGCAAGTGGTTCACCACGTCCACTGGTTATTTCAAGATCTCTTCCTTGACCTACTGAAGAGATACAGTCGTGGTACTTCGGTAGAGCGCACTGTCCTCAGCCTGAGCAGCATGCGTCAGCTTATCCAGCAATCCGCTTCACCAGCTGCCATCTGTCCAGTGGTTGCTTCCTACCTGTCCGAAGCCGTCATTCTTGCCGCAAGCAGTGTGCAAAGCAAAGATGTCAAGGACGCCAGCGGTGTGTTCGTTGACTCGGTGCAGGATCTTCATCACGTTCCTGCCACGCACGTCAGTATGCTTCCTGCCACATGTACTGATCGCCTGGAGAGTCTGCGAGATTCCGCATTCCTTAGCGATCTCCAATCAAGCCTAGATGTGAGTGAGAGGGAAATCAGCCGACTTGGTGGCCCCCAATCAGTGTCGCCCGCTGGACCCAGTCGGCTGAATGCCTCGCTGGTGTTGTTGGCATGGTGCCGACAATCTCATCGTCACACATCTACTGTGCTATACAGCAGGTTAGCTCAGCACTGCTTTTCTTCGCCATTCTCCGTTTTCTACCGAGAGATCTGCAGGATGCTGGTGGAGAATGAGAACATGGTGAGCGGAATAAGAATTTTTTAAAGTTTTCCGTAACTATGAATCTCTGCTGCCAATATTCATAAACAAAATTACAAATTTGCTTGAATGAGAACGGTGCGTGTTTTGTTTGATTATATCAAAATTGAATATCATGAACTTGTAGTTTGTATTCTTCTCCTTATGAAGCAAGAAGTTTTAGATGATATCAGTCATTCGCAACAATGCATTTTAGATAATATCTGTTTTCACTTGGTACAATTTCTATAACTAGATTTCACTTGGTAAAAGGTCCAGAACAACCTTGGCTAGACTACAAAATAATTTAAGTTTTCTAGCCTCTCAAGGAACCTTTGTTATGCAAAGCTAAGTGTGTGTGTATGTGTGTGTGTGTGTGTGTGTGTGTGTGTGTGTGTGTGTGCGCACGCACGCGCGTGGGTGTGTATGAGTTTGCATGTTTGTGTGTACATTTGCATACATGTGTGTGTACATGTGTGTGTGTACATGTGTGTGTGTACATGCGTATGTGGGTGTGTTGGTGTATATGTATGTGCACGTGTGTATTCTCATGAAGCTGATGGAAGCATTCCCGGACATCATCACCTATGAACAGCGGCAGTTGAAGGAGCAAGAACGTCTTCGTTGCCAGGCCGACAGTGAGTACATTGTGCATTTCCGCTATCAGGAAGCCTGTACTATAAGCTCTGTGCCCACCAAATCCAGACAATATCCATCTCCATTCTTTTTTAAACCAATTTAGCTCCAAAATCTGATATTAAACTGGCCTGAAGAGTATACTTGTTTGCTATGCTCCACATTTAGCTTAAAAACTACATAAAGACTATTAGGATTAAAAGCATACAGTACTAATTGGAAAAGCAGTCAATGCGTAAAATACGCAGCAAACCTTAAATTTCAGGAGCTTTAACCATTTCCCATTGTCAAAATCTGAATGTGATGATGGTTTTCCGTATTGATTTGTTTGTTTGTTAGAAACAATGGAGAATACTTGCACCCATGTTTATACACAGTCTACAGTCTAATGTGATAATAGAGAGGTTCCGCACTACGTAAAGTTGAGCAACTTTACGTTAGTGGGTGGGAAAAACCCGTGAATTCGCGAGTTTGCACTCCACTTACGGGAAGTTGTCTACGGAGAGTACGTAGATAGGGCTCTGATAACGTAGCTGGTCCGTAAGTGGATTGGGATACAAATTTATGACTCTCTACCCATGTCGATCTGGTCGTACACTGTCGCGTTCGGAGTTGCCCAGGGCAGCTACGTGATTTGAAAACTCTGTATGGCGGAACCCAGATGCGCATGCAGTTTACGTAAGACTTTCCGTAGATCGACTACGTTTTTACTAACGTAATTACGTTATGCGGAACCTCTCTAATATCAGCGTTCCTGTTCTATAGAAAATATACTTGTAAAAAAGACCAAGGAACTACAAGTTTGGACTCGGCTGAAGAGCCAAGGATAAATTTATAGCAAAGAAAAATGGACCAATCGACTCAGTATCGTGCAATATTATGGCATGAGCTGATTGTTTAGTAACTGCCAGTGGTGTTAGTGGAGATTATGGCATAATTTGTACTACTGTACTAGTTGATTGATCTGTTGATTGTTTTCTTTACTATGAACTACAAGTTACGCCATAATGTCCACTAACACCACTAATTACTAAACAATCAGCTCATGCGAAAAACAAATTAAAGACACTGACCGACTGTACTGACGTTCTCCACTAACGGGCTAACATTGTTTAGTAACTGGTGGTGTTAGTGGACATTATCGCGCAACTTGTAGTTCCTTGGTCCTCTATATTTTCTTTAAATTAATCCTTGGCTCTCCATCCGAGTCCGTTCCTGTTCCAGTCTTTGTTTTCCACGCTTCCAGTGTTTGTCTTGCACACAAACTCTTTGTACTTAATTATTATCATTATTATTTCTCACGGTGGCCGTTGTCCAATAAGAGAGATGCAATTCCTAATGGTGATTATATGAAGCTATGGGGTAACATTAGTTGAAAATATGGTCATACTGATAGTTGAAAAGTTGATCGCTAGGGAGTGTACAGGGTATGTGTTATGTTTGTCTATATGTCCTCTAACAGATGTTCCATTGGCGGATGATTGGTTCTCGTCTGCACCCAAGACGTCATTCCTGGGCCAGAATCCCTCGTGAGTATAACATTTATCTCAAGTTGGTTTCATTTCTCATTGTGATGAATGGATGTTAGTGGAAATTCCTCTTAAGAACTCCACTGTACTCTGCAGTACCTATGAAGTGCACATTGTATTCTGCAATCACATCTGTTACTATGGTTAATAACCAGACATTGGAAAGTATGTATTTATGACAATGGTTTTCATCTCTACTTCTGTATGTGTGTGTGTGTGTGTGTGTGTGTGTGTCTGTGTGTGTGTGTGTGTCTGTGTGTGCCTCTGTGTGTGTGTATGGGTGTGTGTGTGTGTGTTTATGTTTGTGTGTGTATGTGTGTGAGTTTGTATTTGCCTGTGTGTGCCTGTGTGTGTGTGTTTTTATTTGCCTGTGTATGTCTGTGTGTGTGTGCGTGCGCGTTGGTTTGAGCGAGCCTGCACATGTGATTTTGTGTGTATGATGTTATCTCTATGCGGGTATGCGTGTTTCTGTGTCTATGTATTTGATGTGTTGTTTTGATTTACAGCGTGGGAATGCTACGATCTCACCTCCATGCAATGCGTGTTACGGATAAGCTGATCGTGGACTCTGATCACTACACTCTGGTCCAGGGTGAGTCCATTTTACTTCACAATCTCTGCTACTTCATATTCATGATGATCACTCGCCTAGACAGGACTTCACGTTATTTACTAGTGTTCTCTTGATCTCTCTCCTTGTTTGAACAGAAGCCGAAGCAGCAGCAGCAGTCTCAGCAGCAAGTCAACCAGCAGCAAGTCAACCAGCAGCAGGAGTAGCAGCAGGAGTTGCATCAGCAACAGCAGCACCGGGAGTAGCAGCATCAGCAGCAGCATCAGCAGGAGCATCAGCAGCAGCAGTACCACCACCACCAGGAGTAGCAGCATCAGCAGCAGCATCAACAGCAGCATCAGCAGCAGCAGCAGCAGCACCACCACCACCACCAGGAGTAGCAGCAGCAGCAGCAGCAGCAGCAGCAGCATCAGCAGCAGCAGCAGCAGCAGCAGCAGCAGCAGCACCACCACCACCACCAGGAGTAGCAGCAGCAGCAGCAGCAAGTCAAGCAGCAGCACCAGGAGTAGCAGCATCATCAGCAGCAACAGAAGCATCAGAGAGCACAGGTATGTGAAGAACCACAATTCCCAGCATAACGACTATCCCACCCAAACACTTCACCTTCGCGTACACCTCCACTTTTTACAAAACAACCTCCACTTACTACAAAACCACCTCCACTTTTTACAAAACCACCTCAACTTTTTTACAAAACCACCTCCACTTTTTACAAAACCACCTCCACTTTTTACAAAACCACCTCCACTTTTTACAAAACCACCTCCACTTTTTACAAAACCACCTCCACGTTTTACCACACCACCTTCACTTTTTACAAAACCACCTCCACTTTTTACAAAACCACCTCCACTTTTTACAAAACCACCTCCACTTTTTATAAAACCACCTCCACTTTTTTACAAAACCACCTCCACTTTTCCCCATCACCACCACTTTGCCACACTATCTCTATGCCCTGTTCTAACTCCAACTCTGTAGTACCCGTCCAGCTCCGCATTGTCCGACCAAGTCTAGCTCTGCTCTACCCTACACTTTGTGCAGAAACCATAGGGAAATACAATGAGACATTTCGAAATATAATGTTGGAAACTCATCCTCGGATTCTCCTGTTGTTTCTGTTAGAATAGTGATATTGTATACAGAGTAGATGTGTGTGTGTGTGTGTTTCATGACTGCGTGTGTTTCATGACGTAACCTCTGTGTGTGGTTCGTGACGTAACCTCTGCGTGTGGTTCATGACGTAACCTCTGCGTGTGTTTCATGACGTAACCTCTGCGTGTGTTGCATGACGTAACCTCTGCGTGTGGTTCATGACGTAACCTCTGCGTGTGTTGCATGACGTAACCTCTGCGTGTGTTGCATGACGTAACCTCTGCGTGTGTTTCATGTCCTGTAATATACATCTACACTACAGACTTCGGTATGAAACGTATGGACTGCTCGGACTTTCAAGTAACTTTGGGAACCATTTGCAAATCCGTTTCTCGAATGTTTTTTATGTGCGTGCTCCACTATAGATAATCCTTTCGAAACAGCCACTTTCACTGCTCAAATCCTGCCGAAGTTATGCACAATACCTTGTTCAAGGTTTCGCAGCAGTGTTCAGAGACAAGGTCTGCTACAGAGAGTGAGTGAAATCGTGGAATTAATACGCCTGGAGAAGTATGAGCCAGTGGAGCACCATCATGTCAAGGTCATCATGTACATTCAAGCTGGAGGGATGGACACATACGAAAAGCTATGTGCAGCTATTCAAGACCTGAAGTATGAAGTTTTGTACAGGGAGATGACTGTACTGCTTCCTGCTGACCGTCAGCCTAGAGACG